CACACACACACACACACACACACACACACACACACACACACACACACACACACGGAATGGAAGGCCCTATGACAGAGCTTAAGAACTTGTCAATTGAGGGGCTGGAGAGATGGCTCAGTGGTTAAGAACACTGGCTGTTCTTCCAGAGGACCTGAGTTCAATTCCCAGCAACCACATGGTGGCTCACAACCATCTGTAATGACATCTGGTGCCCTCTTCTGGCCTGCAGTCATACATGCTGTATACATAATAAATAAATAAATCTTAAAAAAAAAACCACAACTTTAAAAAAAAAAAAAAAAAGAACTTGTCATTTGAGAAGCCACTCGCCTGGCAAGCATAGAAGTGGCCAGTTATCTTGACAACAACTTGGTTATTCTCATCAGGTGTCTGGTCACGGGGGACGACAACTTCAGCACTTGATAAATTCTGAAGTTCATTCACCTGAAATAGATTAAAAAAAAACCCTATTACTAATCGTTAAAAGCTTATTTCCAAGCAATTACTATATGCCAGACACAGTTCACTTCACCCATTAACAGTCCTCTTTTTAACATGACTAGAACCAAGGTCTGGCCAAAGAAATCCAGTGTGTGCTCTGTGCTACTCCAAAGTTATAAATCTGGAAGACTTAGTTGAGGAGACTAAACTAGTTAGGGTCTATAGAATAAAAAGCTGAGGTTCTATGCATCAGATAATGCTAAACTCCCCTTGCAAGTCCCTGGTCTGAAATAGGCAGACGTCTCACTAGCAGGTCATAGTCACAAGGGAACGTCTCCAAACCCTGGCCATGATGGCCTCACTTTTGTCAACTAGCCAGAGCTCCTCCAGCGTGGTGCGGCTCCTGCTGGGTACTTGCCGTTTTGCCTCCTTTCCCAATAACTCTGCCAGCAGCAAAGGACGGCACTCTGATGTGAGCTTCAAGCTTCACCTCTTCTTTAGGACTAACGAAGTTTTCTTCTTTAATTTTCCCATAAATTCTTCCCTGAGCCTACAGACGACAATACAGCCCATCAGTGTCATTCACACTTGAAACAAAAGGTCGGTTAACTTTGAAGACAGCCTAAATCAGCCTGGAGTACACATCCATTGCAGTGGTGCATCAGCATCTGGAATGAAGACCGACAGTAGCAGGACAGACAGCAGCTGTCTTTCCTAGGCAAGGCTAATGAGTCACCAGGGAGCAAAGTACAGTGATACACTGCAATGACGTCATTGTGAGACCCATTCTGCACACCAACTACAAGGAATAAGCTGCGTTCTGAAAATAAAGGCAATTAGTAGGACTATTACAAATGACTATGGGAAATGGCCATTCCCACTCCTAAAGCCTCTCCTCTGGCAAGAAACATTACATTTTTCTTGAGCAAAAGAAACTAGGAAAAAACTACGTAGCCAGGGACCCCAGGTTCACAAAGAGCCAAGCCCATGTCTGAAGGGGACAGACACCAGCCCAAACAGCTCTTCCTCTGCTGCTTTCCCCTTTAGGAGGCTCCAGTGCGGCCACGACAGATGATGTGGTAGTCTCGGCACTTGGGAGGCTGAAGGGCATCGCTGCACACTGAGGCCAGCTTTGGTTACAGAGTGAGATCCTGCCCCACCCCACCCCATCACCCCCAAATAGATACTTCTGGTACTCCACTAACAGGCTCTGTGAACTGTACAACTAGATGCTATATTACATGGTTGTGTGACTGTGAATGTGTTTTTTGTATACTTCAAAGGAGAAAGAGGTTTATGGTGGGAGGTCAGCCTAATCTGACAAGCTGCTAAGCCCAAACAGCCATACACTCGTGGGTGCAGAGATGCTAAGCTCATTTGAGGGGATCAGAGAAAAGACAAAATTCACTTCCACGCTCCTCCATCCCATTCATTTTATTTTTATTTTGGGGGCTGGGGAAGATAGCTCAGCAGTTAAGAGAAATGGATGTTCTTCCAGAGGATCCAGGTTCAATTCCCAGCACCTACATGATAGTTAACAATCTCTGTAACTACAGTTCCAGAGATCTGATGCCATATCCTGGTCTATGAGCATATACCTGATACACAGACATACTTACAGGTAAAACACTCATATATAAAATAAAATGAATAAAATCTATAAAAAATTTAAAATCTATTTGTATATGTATGAGTGGTTTGTCTACATGCATGTCTGTACCATATGTGCATGCATGTGTGGTGGGTATCAGGCCTATGGTTTCTCACAGGCTAGAAACTATCACACTCAGCTCAGTTCTTAACATTTCCAATTTACGACACGAACTGACGGACCACGGGGCTGCCGGGAGGGCTAAACTTCACCTTGATGCCTAAGCAGTAGCCACTCATCATATTTGTGTGTTCTGTTCTCTCTGCTAAGAATGGGAAAGCAGCTGTGAATTTTCCTTGACTCAATTCTTTGATGGCTAAAACAACACAAAGAGGGTCTGGGATTCAGGTCAAGGCAGGGCACTTGCACAGCCAGGCTCTGGGTTGGTCCTTCCCAGCTAGGACGGTAAGGGAGCTGCAGGCAGGCTGACGGTGCGTGCAGACAGCAGAGACAGGCTGAGCGTGAACGCTGTTAGTGGACACAGGACCAAGACACGGGTGTTGGGCTGCTGAAGTGGCTGAGCAGGGAAAGTGCCTGTCACTGAGCCCAGCACCCACATGGTGGGAGAAGGCGGACTCACAAGTGAGCCTCTGACCTCTGCATACATGCCATGATGTGTATGCTTTCCATAAATAAATACAGGTAACTTAAAAAAGGACCTAGGTGTTAAATTAATGAGTAGAATTTAGCCGCTGCCTAAGGACAAGGTGCCCCACACTGACCGTTCACTAGACTGAAGGCACCTGTGGCTGTAGTGGCCTCCCTGATGGGCTCAGAGTTGGGATCACCAGGCCCAGCATGTGGGACTGTGCTACTGTGTCAGGCGCTAGTCTAAGCACTGTGTATGTTGCTTATACCTTACAGCTAGGAGAGAGGTGCTTCTGTCCGATCTATAAAAGAGGAACTGGGGAGACCAGTAACTTGCCTAAGGTCACACAAATGGGAAATGACCAAACTAGGAATTGAAATGAGGATCTAGCTGTCGAGTTGTCTCCTCCTCAGAATACATGGAAGTTTTGCCAGCTCCAGAGGACCCCAGATACTAATAAACGTGCAGTAGTTCAAGCCAGGCCACATGCCATCGTAACTCCAGCCTTCCTAACTAAAATCCTAGGACAGTGAAGGCCAAGAGAAAAGGGCCTGCTGTAAGGGCTGCGGGGCCACTAAAGGTTAGAGCATCTCCAAGACAGAAGGGGATGTGGAGGGCAGGTTTACAGGGCTCGTTGAAGTCCTACCATGTCAACAGTGATAGTAACCAACACCAGACAGAACTAAAGGCTCCGGGTTTATGTTTGTGATAGAATTCTGGCATGGCGCCACCCTGATCTTTAGGATTCCCAGTGATGCCGGGGCTGGAGAAGGCAGCAGCATCTTGCTCCCTCTGGGTACCTGTGCCCTCCACAGCACATACCTTGAACTGAGCTTCTGGTGGTCCAGTGATAATCACCATCCTCACTTTTGCATCCGGTGCTTCGGCTGGAGCGATCTGTAACAGACCCATCACCAGCCAGTTATGATACTTTCTGGTGTCATTGACACACCTTAGGCCCACCAGCCTGACATCTGCACATGACTGACTGAGCTGTGGAATTAAATGCCTTCTGGAAAGGAATTATGGAGAGGCTGTGATTAATATGGGCCAGTTAGATACAGCACACTATTTACTGAATACTTAAATGGTGCCTGACTCTAATGTAAGACTGCATGTACCATCACTGAGCCAACCCATACCTCATCTAGCTGAAGAATGATCACTTTTCAATGGGAGCACTGAAGGCTGAGGGCATTGAGGGACCTGGCCCATAACTGTATAGTTAACAGCCTTGAGAGGGCTGGGTGTGCCCACTGCCTGGCTCCCAGTAGCAATTCCACTGGTACATGAAGTGTGGTATATTAAGAGCTCTGGACTGCTAAGCTGTGAGGTCACTACATCCATGGCATCTCCTTAGCTGTCAGAGGAAGGGTAATGCTGTCTAGGCAGCTGCGCTTCTCAAACTTAAAATGAGGGATTGCTTGAATTATTTGTATACTCTTGTTGCTGAGATTATTAGTAAATTGCTCCCAAGTCTGCTTACTAGAAGGACACAGGAAGTTAGCTAATGTTAACTGAGCAGGATCCAGGTAAACTCAGATTTCTCTGTTTTTATGGAATGTATGAAATCACAAAAGCTCAGGCTGGGGAAACAGTGAAAATGCTAGGGAGCGGAGCCAGCATGCTCGGAGCCACAAGGCAGGCCTCTGGAGCCCTTTGAGCTGAGGAGATGGCTCATTGCTGTGCAATGGCAAGGACTGGAAAGTGGATGCCCACCTGTGAAACCAGCACTGAGAGTTCCCCAGATCAAACCAGGCAGCCAGCCAGCCTTACTGAAAAACTCGGTTCAACGGAGAGACCCTGACAATGACTACATATTTGCTGTGCCAATAAAACACCTAATTGTCCCACTGTAAAACTAGAAGGACAAAACACACAAGTCAGTCCATTCTACAGCTGGAGATCACTGCCAATTGCTTGATGTCGTCATTTCGACAGAGGCTTTAGTTGAAATCCAGTCCTGCTTTCTGCTCCCTTCAAAAATAAAGCTAACATTTCTGTCACGTAGAGCCAAACTGACACCTAGACCTACTTTATACAGAGCAGTGCCTTGTTTAGTTCAACCTCTTGGGACTTCACAGAAAAAACTGTAAGGCGTCATCCTTTGGCCTTCCAGCTGTTTGTGGTCGCTGCTGCTGACGACACAAACCCCCGTTTCCCTGCTGTCCCTCCAGCTCTGCCTGGCCAAGTTCTCAGAATGTAATAGAGGCAGAAATATCCCACAGCAACCAACAGGCAACTCCCTTACAGGAAAGACTTCACTACATCCTCCTGTCCTCAATGGCCAGGTGACAGACGTGACTCTTAAAAGCATTAAATGTAGAGATGAACCGGAGGAAGAAGTTGTAATTCAAGATCTCAGAGGCGCGGAGATACTGTGCCATTTCGCTTCTCCCCAGACTGATTCTTCTGGAGAGAGGTTATCTAACCACACTTAAGCCACCGTTGTAGGGTTCCTGTCGTACGTTATCTAACCCGAATTCAGCCCCCCACTTTCACTTTCTTGTATCATCAGGAAATCCACAGTGTGCAGAACAGTACCTTGATCGAAGCTCCTGCAAAACGAGAAAGCTGTTTGATGTGCTGGCCCTGCTTGCCAATGATGGCACCAACTGACAGGGCGGGAATAAACAGGTGCACAGTCTCCGTTTCCGACTGCTGCAAGAGAAGAAAGCCAGGGCATGATGCTTATCTGCTACCAAACAAGTCAGTGACACCCTCCCTCACCTCTGGGATGAGCACATTCTCATCCCGGCAGGAATACCAGGAAGGTTATGGGGAAACGGCAATGAATCGACCAGAGTTTACCCACCATGGTCCTTTCATTGTGAAAGGATCAACCAGTCATTAAAAATCGCACTTTTGTCTACATATTTTCCTACACATAGCTTGGCCTTCTTTTTATCATGTATTTAAACCATGTAACCTATAGCCAAGGTGGCTTTCAGACTACACATCCCAAACTTGACAGTAGCAAAGGATACAAACTCCAGACTTAGGCAGGCCAGCCAGTCTACCTGCCTGGCTGCCTTTCTTTCCAGAGCTAAGGACCAGACCCAGGGCCCTTGTGCTCGCTAGGCAAGTATTCTTCCACTAAGCTAAATCCCCAAACCAGGCTTTTATTTCTTAAACAGAGAGTAAACAACTCTAAGGGAAAAACTCCTACGTATGTACAAACCACACCAAATACCATTATCAGCCCACACTTATCACGCAGAAGCGTAGCAGAGAACTAAAAAGGAACCCATTCACTTCAGTCGAAAACCACTGTAAGAAAGACGCTTTCCTCCCACGCACGTCTCCGCCCTCCCTCGGCATCTTATATACAATCAGAAACCATGTTGACAGCGAAGTTCTGAAAGGTTATGCGCAGATGGACTTAGCTGCACACTTCATCCCCCTGCCTCACACTGGTCACACACGCCCTCTCCAGGCTTTCTCGGTCATTACTGCAGTGCTGAAGGACCCGCTCGTTCAGAGACAGCCCAGCAAGTGAATTCCTCACAAGGCAGTACCAGTGGGGGAGGGAGAGTTCGGGTGGAGCAGCATCCCTGCTCCTGCACCTTCTTCTCTGTTCACCCTTTAACAACAGGAAGTGTGTCCAGGAAGATTTTAACATTAGCCACTGTGGTGGTCTGAATGAAAACGGCCCCCATAGGCTCATAGGGAGTGGCACTGTTAGGAGGTGTGGCCTTGTTGGAGGGAGTGTGTCACTGGGGGTGGGTTCTGAGGTTTCAGAAGCCGGAGCCAGGCCTGGTGGCACCTTCTCTTCCTGCTGCCTGCCAATCTGAATGTAGAACGCTCAGCTACCTCTCCAGCACCATGGTTCCTGCCATGACAATAATGGACTGAACCTCTGAACCTGTAAGCCAGACCCAATTAAACGTTTTCCTCTATAAGAGGTGCTGTGGTCATGGTGTCTCTTTACAGCAATAAAACCCTAACTAAGACAGCCACCAAAAGGGTCTTGGGGAAGGACCACAGGTGCTATGTTGGGCGATGAAGATGTCAGAAAGGAATCCAAGAAGCTGAGATGGAGGAGGAAGCTCAGGCTTAAGGAAGCTGCTGCTGTGGCTGAGATGATGCGGCACGTTTCTCTTCCTGTTTAAACATCCCATTTCCCGCCTACCACCTTTGCCACCCATAATTAGGATAAAATATTGTTCCAGAGCTTGTTGCATTTAAGAAATTTGTTTCTTAAAAAAAACATATAATGGGGGCTAGAGCCATGGCTCAGCTGTTAAGAGCACTGGCTGCTCTTCCAGAGGACCCAGGTTCAATTCCCAGCACCCACATGGCTAACCACCATCTGTAACTCCAGTTCCAAGAGATCCACCCTCTTCGTCTGACCCGTGAGCACTGTACACATGTGGTGCACAGACATGCATGCAAGCAAAGCACCCATACACATAAAACAGCAGCAAATTCTGAGGAAAAATACAGTGTGGAAAAAAGATAAGTCACTGACTGAAGTGATTTGAGTTTTCAAGAAAATGTTACACGTTTACATCTCTAGAGGTGGAAGAAGCTATTTGCAGAAAGAAATGTAAACATAAGTGACTTGGTGAGATTTCACAGAATTATTTCTTGAAGCCCCCACCCCACTTTGGAAAAGGAACTGTTAGCAGGAAACAGCTGAAGCGGCCACAAGACAACAGTATCAGCAGCAAAGTGCGACGTGTGAGGAGTCTGTGCTGGTCTGAGTGTCCTGGGATGGGATGAAAACAGCAGCCCGGGGACCTGCCCAGCACAACAAGCCGAGCTTGAAGCAACGGCGCTTTCCGTACAGGAGACGGTGCCACAGCCCAGTGCTCAGCACGCACACTGTTGGCAAGAGCATCTTCAGTGACTCATCGCCGTCTGAAGCGGGGTGAAGGCATTTCGGAACATCACCCAGCTCCCCTGGCTCCAGTTCCATTCCCACCAGCCATCTTTCTGGTCATAAATTACTTCACGAGGGAATTTTCCTCTGAAGACACAGGCAGCCCGTGGAAACGTCTGTCCACTGGACTGTCTGGTACAGCATGTTCTTACATGGAATTCGGCACGAGAAGCCATGTTCTCAGGATCCGTCTCAGATAAGCACCGATTTCATTTTGAATAGTGGACCTGAGCAGATAGGAGAAAAAAGCCTCTTCTGCCCACAGGTTTAATTAGCCTCTGAGATTTCAAGAAAGCCCTCTCAGCGTCACCCTTCCTGCTGACACATTCCTTGGGCTTAAGTTCACGGTCCTGAACACGAAGGAGACCCTTTCCTGAGCACACTCTTTGAGGGTGAGGGCCAGGCACAGGACGCAAGCTGCTTCCCAGTGGACTGCTGCCAGATGCCTATGGCAAAGCTCCCTCCGGACTCTTGGCAAGCGCCGTCTGTGTCTTGAAATAACGAGAACAAAGCTGTGAGGCCGAAAGCTTTCGTAACTGGCGAAGTCTGCCAGTGAATAATTCCTAATCACCCGCTATCGAGAAGATACAAGCAACTGCAAACAGTGAGGTTAAGTGTATTTACTTTGCCGGGAACAAAATCTCAGGCATCACAAAGGCACAGAGACGTGCCTGGCAGCCAAGGGATCAGCCTCCAGGAACCTGGCAGGATGCCAGTGTTTTCCTTTGGCGGGTAGGATAGGTATTGGGGGAGGGAGGGAGGGGTGTTTTTAAGTAGATCTGGGTCTGGAACTTAAACCAAGTTTACTCAACTCTATGACCTGAACCAAATACTGAAGCTTTTTTTTTTTTTTTTTTTTTTAAAGAGGAAGTAAACCAAGCCTTCATATGGTGCAGTGATTTATTTTCTTAGAAATGTTTACTGCACCCATGATGAAAAATCTTAAGACCAGGAGACACTACGTGACCTAAGGACAGGACAGCAACTCAGGCTGTTTCTTAGAGGGTGCCTCTGACGACCTACAAAGACATGCTCACACATCTTTCTCGCCCCCTTCACCAGAATGCTAGTCCCTTCAAGGTCACGCTGCCATCTTGGAGCCCTCAGAAAAGAGTGTAAAGAAGCTATCACGAGTGTAAAGACAAGAGCCCACAGGCTTACTCCTGTCGACCCGACTGCAAGGAGCCAACATGGCCAGCAAGGGGGGTAAGGGGGAGTGCATGCCCTTCGCCAGCTCCAGCTCCAGCCCGGCTCACTAGCTGCCAATTCTCCCTTCCCTACTGTTTGGGCATTTCTGAAAGGAGCATTTCCTGTCATTTATAAACGAGGGACTTGCCAATTAAGTCCTGAGTGAGCCAGCTGCCAGGCAGGAACTAGAGACTTTCTGAAATCTGTTGGAAAAGACAGCACTTCAGCTGTTCAGAGAAATCAACCTCACGGGTTCTAGGAGAGAAAACACTTTGGAAGGGGGAGGGGAAGGGGAGGGGGGTGAGTGGGGGGGTGAGTGAGCTGGGGATGAGAGGGAGATGAGTGAGTAGGATGAGTGAGTGGGATGAGTGAGTGGGATGAGTGGGCAGAGTTCTGGAATGGGAAGAGGCAAGAAGTTTCTCCACAGAGTACACAGCGTTCGCCTGTCACAAAGCAGAAATGACAAAATCTGCAGAAAGAAGACAATTCTATAAAAGTCCTGGTGGTGGCGGCAGTGTCGGCAGTGGGGGCAGTGGGGATTTCCCGCCTACCACCTTTGCCACCCATA